TACACACACACACTCCCACAGATGATTTTCCATTTAGGGCCACTTTTCTCCCAATTCACAGCTGGTTCCCTGAACAAGTTTTGCCTAAGAGTTCCTATGCCTGTATCTAGGGATCTACCCTTTTCCCCTGTAAGCAGACACAATTTTCCTCTGCATGTACAAAAAAGAGTAAACCAGAAGAGTTTCCTGACTCGTTCCTTGCTTCTCTAATTACTAAAGGAAGGAAAGGGAGAAATCAACATGCAGTCACAAGAAACAAAGACAGGCAAAGACCTTAGGTTCTGCAGTCACTAAGTCACTTTGTACAGTGACAATTTAACCTCTATGCCTCAATTTCTCCCTTCATCAAAACAGGAATAAAAATATGACCCTTGTTTGATACCCCACCCTCACGAAGCTCATGTACACCAGCAAAAGAAGCAAGCTGTAGCAATGGTGACCACAGCCATCAGTTATACTGACTGACTGTGTCCCATACGCGAGTTTTGGAAATAACATCAAACATGCCAAACAGGCTCAGAGGATTCTTGCTGTCTAGCAGTCGGACATTCTCCTAAAGTACTTAGCACCTGGACTGTCATTCTGGTAAGAACAGGATTGGTAAGAGCAGTCTGCCACTGTAAAAACAGCGTAGCACCTGGACTGTCATTTTATTCCTACTGGTCTCCAATAAAACCACATAATTTCTCTTTCATGACAGAGAAGAGGAACACTTAAAGATTTTATATATTCATGCAATTGAGTCCACGTGTATGCGTTCAATACACTAGTGGTTTGTGTCTTCAGCACAAGCCCAGAGTGTAAGGGCTGTTTTTGAAAGAGTTTGCTACCTACACTGCACTCTGTTCTGTCTCATCTGGATGGTAAGAACAGGATTGGTAAGAGCAGTCTGCCACTGTAAAAACAGCAAAACGGTCATGCTCAGGCATTCTGAAAATCTGAAATAAATTCCTATAATACCAAGACGATGTGAAAAAGTATGGCTATTATTGTAGGCTATGTTTAAGTACCTGGCAGGAGGCAGAAAGAACAATAGAGAAAAGTGTTGGTCCTGTTCACCTGAATATCCAGAGGTTTTCTGCTCGTCACAGTTCTTGGCCTCTGCAACTGGCTTGTGCCAGCCAGGCAGGCAGGGAGCAGAGCGAGCACTGCTGGAGGAGCTCGCTGCTCTTTCAGCTGGATCACTAACATGATTCAGACTGAAGCATGACACAGGAGCCAGGGCCAGTTAACACCACACTGAGCTACAGAGCGTGGGTTACTATGGGCTGGGAAAACCTGAATCTGTATGAACATCATTGGGAGCTAATGCTAACTACTTTGGGATGAGAGAGGGAAGCATAAAGACTGACAATTTTGCATACAGTGCATTTGTTATCTTTTCAAGTCAAATGAATGAAAGTCTTATTACAATGCCTTTTTAGGATGCTTTGATTTTTTGATGAAGCTTTATGATGGCTTCTCCTCAGAAGAAGCCAGACCTTACCACTATGAAACTCAGAAATAGTTTTTCAAAAAGAGATCATAATCATGCAGTAGCTAGCAGTTACCATGATGACCACCATTTCTGCCATTCAACACAACACTTGAAAATCCTAAGTAGTTTAGCTGAGAGCAATTCCCATTCACTGAAATGAAATCTCTCAGATCTGCAAGTCTGAAAAAAACTCAGACTGAAACCTTTGATTATTGATTTATTATTATTGGTCAAATTCAAAGTTGAGAAAAACAAGGTAATTCTAAATCTGTAAAATCATGCTCACAAAAAACATCTGAAACTACTAACATAGAACTGCCAAGTGGACCTTTTTCTGAAGCTAAGGATAAATAAAAAAGGCTCTAGAGTATGTTTAGGACTCAAAAGCTACATGCCAAATTTCACACATGAGTAAACTTAATCCTTGAAGCTATATTGGGATCTACAGTGAGTGTTCAGTTTTAAGAACTCACAATTTCCAAGCAGAACTTTATATCAGAAGGCCTGAAATACATTAGTAATTTACTAGATACTTTGGACAACTTTCCAGTAAGTTTTAGCCATTCTAACATATCTATCTCTAAAATTGCCAAAACCACTTTTTTTTTTCAACTGCTGCAATTTTCTTTTGTTTGCACAGCTCAGTAATTCTGTATAACAACTGATCATATTTGAAAGTATTTCTAGTAGGCAATATTTGCAATGAAGCTGGCATAAATGCATCCTAGATATCAAGTCTTTTGTTTTTCTAGCTTTTGAAGGATCAGAAAATATAATGGCCAGGACTGTATTTTTCCATTCTGTGACCACTGGGAATCTGTAAGCTCACAATCATTGTCTCATGGCTCTAAAGCAGTCCATGAGCCTATTTTAGCATGCTCCCACTATGTATTTTCCAGCTGTTAAGACATTCAGTAAAGTCAGTTGTTGTAGCTGAAGAAGGACACAGCATCTTTCTAGTTAAGCGTATTTCCATTACCCTGCAGTAGCTATTTTAAGCTTCAGGAAAAGACTTTAGATTTCATCTTTGTCCATAAATTCTGAATAGACCCATTTTCAGTCTTTCCTTTGACACTAAACAGCAATCCCAGCAGTTGAAGCCCTTAAAAGTAACTTCCCATGATGATGGAAAAACATTGAAGATGATCTTTGACACAAGTACTGCACTTCAGAATCCTCCTTTGATTCAATTAAATTATCTGTTGGTCTTCAAAGAACACAGTTGTTTGGGAGATGTTTTGTCAACTACAGCAAAGCTAAGAGAGTTTTTATAGGAGTATTGGTATATAAAAGATGTGGGAACGTTATGTCAAGATATTTCCTGCACTGGTTGAATAGTCAGGTTTTCCTTAAATGCTGACTAAGTTAATAATTTTTATAGTAACAGGATTCAGACAGAAGTAGCTGTAGCATGCTCCTCAAACTGCAGATACTGAGATCCCACACAATGTGGCACGAGCTATGCAAGCAAGACATTTTACTTCAGGCTCCCAATACACACTGCAATTCCATCTGCAGAGTTTTAGAGAAGGCTGCAAAGACACTGAACAAAAAACTTCAATTAAAGGAAGGTACTTGAATACAGTTTTGAGAAATTAATTCAGGGACTACCTAATAGCATAAAGCACTACAAAAGCCAGATCTGGGTGAGGTACATAGGTACACAAAAGGAGCTGATATAGTAGGAATAAAACATCTCTTCATTAAGGCAAGAATTTCTTTTACAGCGTCTTCCATTAAGCTCAGTTAAAGCACAGAGTAGGTTAGGCTTACATTCACGTAAATACCCAGCATAAAAGCAAAAAAAGGACATGGAGACCATCTTGGTGCATCAAATAAAAAGCTAAAAAATCTGGTGTCAGCAAACCAACCTTGCTTAGAATTAAAATCAGATAATTTCTCGATTTATACGTCTTGGCTGTTTAAGAGGGATAAGAGAGAATTTGGCTGGTTTGCTCCCTGTTGTTAACACAGGCTATTGAAATGTTTCCATTTAGTTAAAAATGAATTTACCTGTTGAAATGGTAGATATCCCGAATGTTTCCAAACAGGGCTGATCGCTCCTCTGTTCCCAGGGAGAGCTTGGTCTGATCAGTGATACAGTCGAGGTAATCCTACAAGAGAAATGAGAGGGACGTCTTCAGACATTTCCTCCTTTCCTAGATGAGTAAACAGAACTATGTTTTATTGTGCAAAGATGAGTCTCTGAATATCAGTTTCACCTTATTATTACAATAAAGCCTTCAGCAGCCCTTCTGAGAACAGTCACTCTATTATGAACGGTAACAATACTTATCTGTTCCCTGAAACCAAGCAAATAACAAAAGGCTGAAAGCTAAGTTATACCTTTTAGACGGCACAGCCAATGTTTCTCTCACTACTGATAAACAAATGTTTTCAAATTTCATTCACAGTGACAGTAATTGATCATTTGGCTGGCTCAAAGACAAAAAAAAATGTAAGCGATGAAGAATGTAATTTAATGCAGTCTTAGAAACAGGAAAGCTATATAATGAAGAACAGAAAGCACGCAAGCAAGAGAGTCTCAGAAAAGCAACCACTGAATAAATTACTTTTTTAAAAATCATGGTTACTGAAGAATGCAGAATATGTAGAACACAGATCTCAAAGGATCTATGTCCATGCAATTTACCAAGCACAGAGTTACACTGCAAGTTACATTGCTGTATACTCTAGCAAAAATTTCCTTTTGCCCTTACAGGATTGATAGGCTCTCATCCAGGGACTTTATTTGAATAAGAACATCACAGCTAGAAAAAGCTCAGATCAGCAGTGTTCTGGGAGAACAACTTTCCCACCTCTTCCCTCACTTCGATAAGAGCTCAATGTCACCTTTTTTCCTGTTGCTGCTACAGTATTAAAACTCTCTCATAAGGGCAAACAAATCCAGCAGGCTATTTAACTACAGCTCATGAAACAAGAAACCTGATGTGCTGCCACATTCATGAAGAAATTCTGTTGGAGTATGGAAATAAAAGTGAAAACAGCTGAAACAATGTGAAATAAAAATAAATAAAATCCTTTAGCCTGTGGCTAGACAATGTGGTGTGGCAACCTCCCAAAAGCAACACAGCATTCCAGGGTGCTGCAGGAAAGGAACCCTGCGAAATGCCAACAAAACCATGCAAACTTCTAAGATATAACTGTGTTCCAGAGTCCTACAGAAAAAGGTATTATAGAACACATACACTGGCCAAGAGTTATTCTCTGTGTAAATTCTGAGAAGACAAAGGGTTTGAATCAGCCAAGGATCTGACTTTTGGTTTCTAGGTGTCCTCAAAAGGAAGGTTAAGAATTACAGCATTTAAGCCTCCATGCCCATATCCTTATGTTCAACTGAAGTAGTTTTAGCAAACTTAGAGGTGTAACCAAGATTCAGGTTTAGGTATCAGCAGAATTTCCTGTCCCCTCCCCCTAACAATAATCCACACTCCATCATCACCGCCAGTTAAAGGTAGCCCTCATCACCCCCAAAACTCAGTATTTTTTGCTGGGGCAAAGCAAGTAAGTCTATTTCAAGGTAACCCCAGTGTCTTTAAGAAGAGCAACGAGTGGCAGTAGGCAGGCAAGTCCCTGGAGAGCCGTGTCATCTCTCCTGTGATAGCATCTGAACTTACTCTACCTTCCCTCCCGGCTGGCAGCAGCCTCAGAGCCCACACCTGACCTTGAAATATATTTGCGCCGGAAATCTTTGGAATCACATCCACAGGTTCCCTGAACTTCAGCTTTTTATTTATACTCAGAAGCTGCAGAAGAGTAAAAAGGTTCAGGATGGTGAGGCAGACAGGACTGCAGCAAGCAGTACATTGGGTCAAAGGCAGAAGCAGATAATATATTCCAGTCTACTCCAGTAACAGTATTAAACAAATAACCTTTTCTGGCCAGAGACAACTCTTCATTATATCAAAGCAAAGAATAGAAAAGCTCCAGTGGAATTGTGATCCTCTGAAAACATTTTTAGCACTGCAGGGACACCAAAGCACCTGAGCTGATATGACAAGGTTGGGCTGCAGAGGAATGGAAAGCCTACATTGAGTAACTCCATACAGAACATTTAATGAATAAAGAGGAGTTCCTTTCCAATTCATTCATCTCAACATAGCTGGAGCTTGCGTTTCTTCAAAATAACAAACAGTCCACAGTTATTTCCAGTATTGTAGACAGTGTTAAATGCATGACCTGGTTTTCTGCTCCTTTTGTTCTCTTACCCTGATTTTCCTCCACATATACATACACTTCTCAGTCTTTTACCAACCATTAGTAAGAAAGAGGGAACCAGGTACCTTTCAAATGTTGCTGCCAAGCAGCAGCCTGCAGGTGCTTTGGCAGTTTTCCTACACTCCTGTAACATATGTCAGTATCAGTCTACGTACACCACACACCCACGGTCTGTGCTCCCTTTTGCTAGAAGTTCCTTCAAACTGTGCTTCAGGCCCCCTTCTTCATCCAGCCTCAGATCAGAAACAAACCAGAAACAACTGGGTGGATGTGTGCTTCCCTAGCGTAAGGCAAGATGGTTATTTGTTCAAAATGCTTGGGATTCAGAGTTACCTTATACCTCACCTCGTACTATTAGGAAATGACACAATTTGGGGACTGCTGTCCTGGTTTAGCTTTCTAACTTTGTCAGTATTACTAAAGACTGCAGACGTTTACGTTGCTGTTATTGGTGTAAGCAGATAGACACAGCAAAAAGCTCCAGATATTCAAGTTTTTGTGAAAAAGGTGGACTATGGACAGTCCTAACACATTGGTGTCACGCAGGTCAGGCCCTGCACATAAGCATACTGCTTGCACTGGCTCAGCCAGTGGGACCTGTCTGATTATGTTGCTTTATAGGGCACGTGTGCTCTCATAAAGGCTTCATGAACTCATCCAGGAAACAGATGCAGAATTGGCCTGTAATGTCTTCTGCAAGGACAACACCACAGGCAGATCAAAGCTACCCAGACGTGGGGGTTTTCCTAATTATTTCTTAGCAAATGGTACTTTACCCCCATGGTAGTCACTGCAGTGTATCAACAGCTGTTATCATCTGGAGCAATAATGAAAGGTTTGGAGCTACAAGATAACAGAGCAGGCTGCAAATGTAATGACATGGTGCAGAAATCAATGAAATTTATCAGAACAGAGTACTGGCCTTATTCACTTTATTTGTTTCTTGTCAGCATCTATGAACCCTCTGTCGGCACCGAAAGATTTGTTTATAACCTTTGCCTTTTATTGCTTCTCTGCAGTTATGGCATCAACATCTAGCTTACTTTATAGGAGAAAAAAACTCCTCACAAATGTTTGTCTCCTTAGATTGATTTATGGACCATGGTTTGCTTTCATGGAATTGCACAATTTCCCCCTCCCTTTTCCTTGAAACTCTCCAAAAACTGGGAGAGTCTTGCCAGACTGCCCTGCCTTTCTTGCCGGGTTTGACGTTCTCCCCATGTGTCTTTCATCATGCCAAATCCTTCAGAAGGAATGTCTGCTAGAAGCTGCATACCCTAACTACCATCTCCTCTTCCACAATCACAAAAAAAAAATCTCTAGAGGAATAAAATTATGAAAACACTAACCTTGGAGGCTAAAAAATATAATTATATGAATCAGAAATGAGAGAAAACTGTCAAGAAAAGCACAAAATGAGCAAAAATATATTCAGATATTGATTAATGTTTTCCATGACCAAACTTAAGAAACCAAATGCAATGAGTGGGACATTTGCATCCAGCTACCCCAGTTTTCCTTGGAACACATATGCACACTTAACTTTAAAAACTTCATCTATTGTTGAAGTTATCTATAGTATAAATCAGCCCTTACTGTGGTAATGTTAAAATTAAACATTAAAAGGGATAATATTAACACTAATATTAACATAGTAATTCTGAAAAAATGGGCATAAAACCACACTGCCATGTAAAATGAGAATCCATTTTTATCCTGCTCTGCAAGAAACATACATACTATGTAAGTTCTCAGTAATCCCTTTACAGGGCAGGAGTGTGCATATAAAAATATCACAAAAGATAAGCAAAATTGTTAAATGAGCAGTGTAGTTGCACAGGTACACCTTTGCCAAGACGCAGATACACAAGGCACACAGGACTGAAAATGTGATTAAATATCAATACCAAAAAATAATCAAAAAATTATTCTATCCACTTGGAAATTTTGCTTTCTAATGCCTAAACAAGCTGCAGGAGAAAGCAAAGCTGCCCTATGTCTCTGATTTCAGCAACACACTCTGGGTTCAAGAACTCAGGACTTACATCATAAAACCTCCATCTCTGACCTAAAAATATTTAAAACCAGGTATTTATCAAAACTTCAGTGGCTTCTAGTAGTGTTGCAGACAGAGGAGGGATTGGTAATATTAAATCAAGCAGGAAATGACCCAGGCAGTGCCACAGCATCACTCAGACCCCCAGTTCTCTGATACTCCCTAGACCTACCAGTAAAGCAGATTTTACTCTTAGGTACTACCCCATATTCATGGCCATATGTTTTTCCCAACTCCCTTCTATCCAAAAGCAGATGGCTGTGCAGAAGAGGAACCACTGAAACAGCTCAGCAGCCTTAGCCACCTAAGCACTACTTCCACACCACTTGGAGGAAAAGGCTGCAGGCCAGGAAGAAAACATGCCACAGAATGGATCCTATTTGTAGCCTGCTAGCTTGAGCCATGCTGCCCAAACTAGCCACACACTTGTAAACTAAGAAAACTGGGCATCAGATGTAGATTAGAATAGACACTATGAAATGCTTCCCAGTGCTTATTCTGCTAATTTACAGTTAACTGCAATATGTTCACCAATTCACCTTTTGCCTGATTTTTTTTTCTATTATTTTTTTCTCCATTATTTATTTTATTTTTTAATTTATCCAGCATGTATAGCAGCATACTCTGAATGCCTTGTGGTTCAAAGAATAGCATGCTATCCACACAACAGGTGGCCAAGGATGATGAATTTTAGTCAGGACAGTTCATTGCAGCTCTTTTCAATATTTAAGGTACTGCTGCATTCTGCAAAGGCAATGTACATTTGTATACTAAGCATACTTTGCTATCTTGCTCTGGTTTCTTTCACTATATGAGTCC